TTCAAGATTATAAAAATATTTTTGAATATAATTTTACTTCAATATTTATTCTTTATTGTCAAAAATAGTTACAAGTTAATAAAATTATAAGCAAAATAGTAAATAATCCTAAAAATAAATTTAAATTATTAATTATTATATAATATAGATTTAAACAGAATATAAAATGAGTATAAAATCCATTACTCTTATTTATGTAACGTCCTTTCGTTTAATTAGATCTTACAAAGTAATTGTCATAAGCTTTTATAACTTTATGTAAATTATCAATTTTGTATAAAATTAATTTATTATTCATTTTATTGGTTTTTAAATGTAATAGATTTATAATTAAACTCAAGATTGAATTTTATCCATGACTAAATATCTTGAGGTATAAGTTTTTTTTTTTATAAATAAATGCGTGTGAATATAAAAATTTATTTTTAAAAATTAAGAATTGCACTATTAACTGTAATTAAGCATGCATAATTTTCACTGTATTTTTTTAAAATTAAGTAATTATATTTTTTTAAATTTAATGATTTTTTTAAATTTCTTTTTTAATTAACAAGTATAATAGGTTTACGTGTTTATATTTATACAAATTTACATGCATGTATTATTTTTTAAGTTCTCAAAAAATGTTACCTTACATTTCACGGAGAATAATCAATTATTCGTTTATATAAAAAATATATAATGAATCACGAAGATATAAGATATTTATATCCTTCATTGAATTGAATAAACACTCGTAATGTTACAGTCCCAGACACTATTTAAGTAAAGAATTGTGAAAAATAACGAAAATTTTACAAGAAATAGCTCAAACTATTAAAAATTTTAAGAAAATATTTATTAAACAGAAACCTTAAAAGAAATATTTCAAAAAACTGCGAAAGGATTTCACTGTTACAGTAAAGTTTACAGAAAAGAACACTTCGTGAGAATAGGACACGTATTAGCACAAAATATATTCCATTAACTGCAACATTTTTTTCTATATTAATGTATATCATGGTAAATATGAGATGAAAATTTCTGAAATTAATAAGCTTATTGAAAAATTAGAACAAAGTTTTATATCAATTTGGAAGATTATAATGGTAAAGAAAAAATAGAGAGTCATGTTTTACGATATTTTATTTACTATATATGTGTTTAAAATTTTTTTAACTACAAATATGTAACGATTTAACTGTAGAATGTTTTGTGTAATAAAAGTATCTCGTATGTAATAACATATAAATATGCTATACATGGTTCTGTAGATCCGTATATGTTTTATAAGTAACCTATAGTGCAAAATGGAATACAGTTTTTTTAATTACACAAATACGGTGTAAAATATTTATAATACGCATTTACACATCATGCCCAAAACATAAAAATGATAAAAGTAAACTTACCATATTATTCTACACTATGCAAGTATATGGGGTCGATTTGTCAAAATTACAAGCAATTCTCGAGCTGTTTATTATTGTGTTTTAATAACAATTTTGAAATAGCAAAAGTATGGCTTTCCAATTGAATTTTCTTTAATATCCGCTGCCTTCATTTATTTGACAGTGTGTCTCATAAATTCGCAATCAGTAACCTGTCTTAATTCTCTGAAAACTTTGTTATTGAAGTAAATTTTTCATAATTCTTGCAACGATGCACTTGTTACCTTTTTTCTTGTTTCTGTTAATATTGCAATTCTTCCACAATTTTTTAAAAAGTCTATTTTCTAGTTTTTAATTTGTATATTTTTATTTGATAAATGTTTTTCAAAATTTTTTAAACGTTTTCATTATTTTTTGCAATTTTCGTTTAAATAATGTCAGAAATTATAAATAAAAAATGCTTAGTTATAAACTATATACTATATAATAAACTCGAATCGTGAAGTAATATTAATATTTTATAGACCTACAGATTTGTTTTATTTCATATTTATATTATAAAAATATTAATCCTAGAAAAGAAATTTTTTGAAAATTAATGTGTATTTTATGGTTTTGGGAGTGAAATTTTAAAATTCGATAGATCTTTCAGTTGTACAAAATTTTGGATGATCCGNAAAATATATAGACAAAAATATGACCTAAATATATATCTTATTTGTATTATGTGCTTTAAATTTATAATTTAGACATTTATAAAGTATAATAAATATTTTAATAGTCAATCCTGGAACCATGTCGTTCTACTTTTACTAGTTTCCTATAAAAACTAATTAGTCCAAAACAACGCTTGTCTCGTCAAACATCTTTATTCAGTAAATTGCAGTTCAATGGCAATAGATTCATTTGGGATCATTTGTCCCCTCTTTAATGTAGAATTTTACGTTGTCCCTATCAGATTTTCATTAATAGCCAATAGGAACATTGTAAAATTTCATACCGAAGAGGAAAATAATAATAATGTCTCGTAAACTAGTGTATTAAATAAATGATAACAGTTCTAGCCTCTTTCAACAGAAATATTTTATTTATCAAACGTATGGCAAAGAGTAATTATTATAGAGAAAATTGACACAAATATTGGAATTCAATTATATATTCATTGTGATTGTCTTTTCTTTAGTTAAGGATTAATTTTAAAAAAAAACTTAATTAGGAATTCTTTTAAATATGTTTCCCTTTTTTATGTTCTTTATAAGCAATTTTTATATAAGTTTTGCTTAGTAATGCATTTTTTTAATATATAAGAATAAATTCTAAAATTAAAAATATATTGCGATTTTCGACAAAGTTTCGTTGCAGTTTTGTACAGAATGAGAATTTTAATTTAAAACGTAGTGAAGTAAATAAAATGAATAATAGAAAAGATTAAATTCTGACTACTGTAAATAAATCTGTAGTTAATATAATCCAAAAGTAATAACTTTCTTTCTGGATAACAGTCGTAACTTTATATATCAAATTTAGTCAACAAATTCATTGTTTAAGTATTCGGATCAAATTATTTCTCTTAAAATGTCTATGAAAATCTTAAAAACAATTTTATAAAATATGTGTTGTAACTTTTTAAAAGTTATAAATAATATAAATAATTAAAATATCCTACAGTATGAGAAAAATGCAATCTTCTCTTCTCTCTCTCTCGTTTTGCAAAGCATGACAAAACAAAACATAATTTGGGTCGGATTTTGTTTTTATTAAGCGAAACATAACTAACTGTGATGAGTTGATCATGTGATACAGCAGTATTGCCTTCATTACTTCATCTAAAAATTTTTTAACATTGTTTTTATGAAATAGAATTTTATATTTATTTAAAACTATAATTCGTGTCATCGAATGTATGAATTAATTTAATTTCATTCTGAAAATCTCTCACTTCGTGTTACATGTATTATAACAAAACTGTACTATTTATTTACTAATTATGATATATGATAGTACAGTAGACCCCTATAACGCGGGTTTATGTAATGCGGATTCGTATACCGCGGCGAAAAAATTGTTACCGTATTCGTATAAAGACGCTAAAAGAGACTCGTAAAATGCGGTAAAACGTCATCACCGACTCGTGTCGCGACAGGATTGGTCGAATCTGGACCAATAGTGGACGAGCAACCGAACTACTTACACGCTACGGAGAGTTTAGGCGAGTAAGTTGAGTTTACTATCGTCTGTACAGTATATAGGCCTAAATTAGGTACTGTAAGTCTAATACAGTACTGTAATTTTATACATTTCTTGTGAAAAAAACATTTCTTATTCAACGTTCATAAAAATTATTTCTTATTAATGATGTCTCCAAAGTTCAACGAATTTTTCGCAGAAAAATAACTTATCAGAAAATGCGCTCGCCGTTTGGTGCGCTGCTCCGCGACGAAAACAAGCTTAAGCAATGGCGTCGTCTCGCAATGGCACACTCTGTAAGTAATCCTACAATTTTTTGTTTATAGCATAGTTTATACAGATTATTCCCAAAAAATTATACGTGTTTTGGAAGTGTTGAATCAAATTAGTCTAGAATCGATTAATTTTATTGAAGAAAACCTTTCAAACAGCCGTAGTCCATAAACTTCACACGTGTCGGGCTGTGATTGGCTCATGTATTTAAGGATTCCTACAACGCGAAATTCTTATAAAGCGGAACGTATCTACCGCGTTATAGGGGTCGACTGTACTATAATGTTTCTGTGAAACCTGTAATTTCTAATAGAAGAAATTTGAAATGTTTAAGTAAAGTTAATACAGTAGACCACCTATAACACGGTAGATGATTCCGTGTTATATGAATTCCGTGTTGTACGAGTCACCTAGATTTCACAAATATATGTGCCGGACTGTGGACGGCTCTCGTATTTGTAAAATCTAAGTGACTCGTACAACACGGAATTATCTACCGTGTTATAGGGGAGTCTACTGGATATGACATTATGAATATGACTATTGGATATGACATTTTATCATATACATTACCTGTATTAACATACATGATAAAATTAGAAGAATTAGAAATAGATTTTAAAATGTTCGTTTAAAAATTATTTAATAAACCATTGATTTAATCTCTTAAAATGTTAGTCTTTACTCTATAAAAATTAAAAATTCGCTTATTTATCTTTAATACAATATAGTCTACCTAAATTTATGTTTACTATAAAAATAATATTGCAACTTGCAAAAATTAAAAAGAAATCGTTTATTATTTATAAAAATATTTAAATTAGTTTTTGATTTCTCTTTTTTATATATAAAATACTTTTAAAATTAATTTAATTGATTTTTAAATATAAATTAACCAATACAAAACTACAATTAAAAATTTTTAAAGTTCGTAAATTAGGTCAATGTGAACATTGAATTGTTTACCCCAGTTACAAATCGTATGGAAACATGGAAGATTGAAAGTTGCGTGCTTATTCATGGTTACATATACACTATATTTATAGATTCTAAAGATAATAATTTCATAAATCGTATCTACATATCTGCTTTTTTTCTTTATACAAGTTTAATGTTAGACGTTAATTATGGTTTTATGAATTTTAATATATTTAATTTCACACTAAATTCTAGCTCTTTCTTATATAAGTTTAAACCTGTTAAATTTAGTTTTCAACAGGTGGGGAAGGCTGATTAAATATAAATAATGACACAAACTGCTCATGCGCTTTCAAAAACTTCGAATTCAATATCATTATGTCCAGCAAAACAAAGGTGCAACCGTTAAGTAGAGTAAGTTTAAATTAATTAACATTTATTATATTTTCTTACAAAATATATAGACAAAAATATGACCTAAATATATACATCTGACCATTTATAGAATTCGTGTTCTTAATCTTTTATTATATTTTCTAATAAACAAAAGTAATGTTAATAATTTTCTATTATTAATTTTATTATAATTAAACCTTTTACATTTCGTAAGTAGTTTTTGTTTATCTAATATCAGCGGATTAATTTTCGTTTACTGCTTAAGTGAATATTACATAGCTGTTCCTTATAATTTTATCTTGTATAATAATATCGGTTTTTATAATCAATATAATGAATTATTTTATTATTTTAAGGTTATTTAATTATTTTTCAACGGAATATTTAACGTTTCTCTAGAAATGACAATGTAGACTTATGTGAAAGGTGCGAACCTTTCTTTTTTTTCCATTAAGCATCATGACAGGAAATAATTCCTATTAAATGATATCATTTCCTTTTTATTAAAGATACTTTTATTTTCTGTAAAATTTTTGTTAATCATTATTTTTGCATTATGTTTTAATTGTTTCTTTGGTTCTTAATTGCATTAATATCAGCATATGTTAAAACCATTCTCATTAAATATAACCAAAAATTTATACTACTTTACATGCAGTATTTTTCCTATTTATTGTTGATAATGCACTTAAAATTAAATTTATTCTTGAATGTTTCAAACTTTTTTTTATAATTAAACTCACAATAAAAATATCCGAAATCCCAATTAAATCGAAAAATTCAATTAAAAAATTCTCAAACGAAACAGCAAGGTAATAAAATTAACAAAATTACGAAGTCATCATATTATAATACTAAGGTAGAGGAATTTGATGTGTAAAACGAAATATAATTTATTTTCTTTGAAAAATAGAGATCTAAAATTTAGGATATTTACTGTAATAATATTTAAATAAAGCTAAATATTTAAACAATAGTTATAAAACTTATATTCATATATCTCTTTCGTGTTTTATTCTATTATTTCCGTAAATAAAAGAGACGAAAAATAAAGTAAAGCGAAAGTGAAAGTCTAGTTTTGCAGGTGAAACACTATATCTATTCATTCATGGTCAAAAATATATTATTTTGATAAAACAAAATCAAACTTTAAATAAAATAATATTACTTATTATATAAATTTCAGATTACAGAGTTTATTATTACAAATATAAAAGAACTTATCGATTGACCTTGACCTATTATCTGAAATTGAATTTGGAATAAACTTTGATTTACTTTCTTTTATTTACATATCCATTATTATAATAAATATTAAAAATTATTTTTAGATAATTTAATCTAAAATTAGTCTCTATTTTAATTATTTATAATACCACAGATTATATATTATATTTAATACAGTATTCAAAGTTTTTGTGCATCATTAGAACATCATTGATTATTTATTGTGTTTTAATCGAACAATTAATAATTAATAAATAAATTTTGATTAAATTATTGATGATGACAAAGTTTATTTACAATTTTATATAATCTTTTATTGAAATTCTTAATATAAATCTGTTAAAAAATTAATTTAGGTTATTTGGTTACGAATTTTTCCTGAACTAGTAATGAAGCCATGGAATTGTTCTACTATTAATAAAACATTATGCAAATATATAAATTCTATATTTTTATGTTGATAATTACAAATAAATTGCTGTAGATTGATAGATTAAAAATTATTATAGTCAGTTGTATTGATATATTTATAATTCATTAGAAATACAATTATAATTTACTATACTCAATTATGTTGAAAGCCAATCGTCATCATTATACGAGTATTGTCTTGGTAAGCAGAATAAATGCAAATTAAGTTGTGAAACTCTATGCAAAAGTTAATTGAAAACGTTAACAAATTTATTCTGTTAAATATGATCAAATTATTCTGTTATTTAATTTCATTAAAAATTTTAATTGTTGTATAAGTTCTCGGGATATTCTTCGTGAGAATTTTACTGAATTTCAATTGATTTATGTAATATAATTAACATAATGTAGCCTATATGAAAAATTTATCCTAGTTTTCTACGTAATTTTATACTTTATAGCGTTAAGTTTTAGTATGATAGCAATGAAAGAAAAAAAAATTGAATTCAAACATTTCTTCATTTGAATAATTTGAATTACCGTGAAAAATTTCTTAAAACCATTTAATAGTTGTACAATTTGAACTTGAAACACAATTGACGTCATGTTTTTATTGACATTTTGATACAGTATTTCCGATGATTCACAAATAACCTATACGTATAATTATCTTAATAGTTTACAAATGTTGAAGTAGTTATATTTACATATATGCTTTGATTTTAATATAATTCTACGGACTTATTTTACAATTAGAATATTTTAGGCCTATATAAATCTGATAAAATTTTCAGGTAAATAAAATCATACTGTCACAAAATCTAGTTTAAATTTTTATATTATCCATGGATATGATTTCCATTTAAAACTGTTTTATGTTAATACGAGGAAACGATTTTTTATGTCGTTGAGACAAAACGAAGCACTGTATTTACCTTGTTATAATTTAAGTCCATTAACATATAACAAAAATAACATATTTAAAAAATTTGAAATTCCTAACTATAAGGGTTTCATACTTTATTTATTTCCACTTAAACTTTATTTAGAAAATAAACAAACGATCAATTTTTTGAAAAACGATGTCCCCATGTTCTAAAATAAAATTAAAAATCGATCATTTATTAAGACAAACTTAATTAAATACGTGTATATACAACATTGCGTATTTTCTTAAGAGAATCTCGTTTACTTAATTTTTTAAGTAGCCTACTAGATACATTATTATTTAAAATGATAAAGTTTTAAGACCTAATACTATGACATAAAATAGATATAGAAGGTAAGATAATTATAAAAGAATGTCATTCAAGTGGCTTCCGTTGAAGAGAACAATAAAGAAATTACATAGACAAATACCGTGGGATTTTATTATTTCCTGTGAGTCTGTGAATGAATGACCTAAAATAATATATACTTCAGTAATAATAATTACTAAAGAATGTACGCAAATATTGCATTACTATTAAATAAACGGAATTTCCACCACTTCTAAACATAAATACGTACGAGAAATTTATTAGAAATTTAAACGTTTGCTTACTCATGTCGGCACGCCTTTATTATCTTCTTTTAACTTAAAATTTCCCGGATTCGTAGTAACGGGAATTATAAAACAGCTTGTAATCTATCTTTACAACACATGTTTCTAATGTACACTCGATCATTCATCGTGCGAATAATCAGTAGTAATTTTTTTTTTAATGTAAACATAGACAAACTTGATACTTTTGTAATATTATTATAGTTTAAATGCTTAAAACAATAAATGTAATTGCGCAGAAAGTTCTGTAAGTGATATGTCATTAAATTATTTTTATACAATTAAAAGAAATTTTAAATAACTTAAAATGTTTTGCTTATATAATTGAAAAAAAAATTGGGAATCCATATTAAGGAAATCTGATAGCAAATCAAGTTCATGGCGATGAATTAAATAGGTCAAGTCGGGAAATATCGAAAGTTTAATGGCACTTTCTTCGAACTACTGTATTTATTTATTATTTTTTTTTTATTTAGATACTTCCTTCAAGATAATTGTTGATATTTTTTAATAAATATTTAACATTTCTCTATATGGAAATAAAATAGATTGCTATCAAATGGGATGTTGCATCACATTAGCACATCAAATACGTGATATATTAAGCAGAAAATCGCAGGAAATGCTTATATTTCTCGTAATCGACAAAAGGGAAATACTATTTTCTAAACATTAAAATTCTAATATATAAGTAAGTGCGTGGGTGATTGCTTATACCTGTTGAAATATAAAAGTGTCGAACACATACGAGAATAATATCAGTTACAGCTAGCAACTACCACAATGACTATCCTCAACTCAAAGGTAATTTGTGATACTTTGTACTGTACTTTTTAAGATCAATATCAGTCTGTTATTGTTATTCTATATTCCGTATTATA